ACGGTTTTTTTTCCCCCCAAAAAAATATTTTTTTCCCAACATATACCCCCTCTTTTTTCGCCCACATTTTAAAAAAATTTATTTTTCTCGCCCCCCCCCTATTTATTATATTTTTTTTAAAAAGAGCCCCCAGTTTCTCTGTGATCTTTACCGCAAAATATCTCTTTCTCCCTATATGGAGAAAAATATTTTTTTGTGTGAAAAACATTTTTTAAAGTTTTAAAGAGAGGAAAATTTTTTTTTTTGTGAAAAAAAATAAAAGTATTTGTATGGAAGGTGTTTTATTTTTTATAAAAATAGAGAGAGTGGGTTTTTTATATATTTGTTTTTTTATAAATATATATATATATTTTTTTTTTTTTTTATATATATATATATATATATATATATATATATATATATATATATATATATATATATATATATATATATATATATATATATATATATATATATATATTAAAACAACATTTTAAAAAAATTAAAAAAAAAATTAAATAAAATAGAAATAACTTAGAACACACGAGGATTAAACGAATATAAGGAAGGGTGGTGGAATATAAATTTGAGGTGTATTTGTGACATTTTTTTATGTTTGGTGGTAAATTGAGACGCCAAAAAATAGTACTATTTTTTTTTGATATAATCAAGTCATATTAATATTCTTTAATAGAATTAAACCTTTTACTAGTTATTATTTTTAAATTTAAAATTCAATTGACTAGAGAACTCTTGTAAAGTTAGCGAAGTTGGAGGAAAACAAATTTTAGTATCCGCGTCAAACGTGTGGAAGAAGAAATATTATTGCAATTACGAAAATATCCAATTTCTTAGCGCCATCAGTTTGGTCTTAGCCAAGAGTTACAATCCCAATCTAGAGATCAGTGCATATCTATATGTTATATTATATCGTGTTTACCTTTTTTTTCATATATATATAATATTTTATTTATATATATATATATACATATATATACATACGTAACATAACAGAATACATAGCGGCGACTGATTCTCTCTATAAAGGATTCGGCGCAATTCTATGTAAACTCGGTCGTCCCTTCTCTTGTGTGTTTCCATGGGTTTTTGATTTTGTTTGTGTGTTTTTCTGGGTTTTTGATTTCGTTTCCTTTTTTTTTTTTTTTTTTTTTTTTGGGGTGTCGTTCTTCGCATTGAAATTTGGACTCAATTGAGGGTTACTGTTTCCTGCGTGTAAGGAGAAGACACTAGAATTCTATGCGTTTGTGTTATTTTATTTAGGTCGGAAAATTTTAATTTATATTTTTATTGTTGTGATTACCAGATTATCTCTGTTTCTATTGCTCGAGTTTTTGTTAAATTGATTGCCTTCTTTTTTTTTGGTGGCTGTGGCTGGTTCATTAGTTATATTGTTGAGGGTTAGGGTTTTCAGACGTTGTTTGTATTTCGCACTGATTTGATTGATTGATGGATGGAATATGATCATATGATCATATAATCTCTAATTTTATTTTTATTTTTTTAATCTGCAGAATTGATCCCAACAATTTGAAGATGGGATTTCATCAGGTATTTCATTCCTTGCAGGAAGTTTTCCCAGAGGTAATTTCAGGGCTTTTTAATTCCTGAAATATTGTTAATAGTAACTCTACATGCATGACAAAAAGAATATATATAGATTATGACAAGAAGAAAAAGTGAATGTTGAGACACTTATGCTGGATACTATTTAGGAAAATCAGATGAACTGTTTTGTCACTTTCATTCTTTATATAAAATTGAACATTCAAGTTTAATTTTTGAGTCGAAAAAACAGATCGATGCTCGGATTCTTAGAGCTGTTGCTGTTGAGCATAGCAGAGATGCCGATGCAGCTGTTGAGGCAGTGCTCGTGGAGATTATCCCTTTCCTTTCAGAAATATCTCGACCAGGCACTCCTTTGTCTGTGAGCACCGCTTCTGTAGGCAAACCATCTCAAGGTGAGTTTTTTGCAGCCTATTTAGGCTTATATATGTCGAAGTTTTCTTGATTTGGGTTGTGTAATTGTTAACTGCGGTTCTATTTTTTTTTTTTTTTTTTCGAGCAGCTGATGTACATTCTGTTGCCACTGTTGAAACCGGGGTTAGCGTACCTGCTCATATTGTGGACTACACTGGTGAACCAAATGGTTCAAATCTGAACCGCCGTGGAAAGAAGCCTGCTTTGCATGCTGAGCCCTTCTACGATACATATCATGAACCTTATGAAGGAGAGCGTAGTGTACGTCAAGCTAGAGTGTATCAATTAAATGGGAAGGGAGTACGAAAGAACGCTGATGTTCTTGTTCGCCGCCGTTGCGAAGGTATTGTCATAAATGAGGATAGAGCACAAAAGAACGCTGATGTTCACCGTCGTAGTGAAGCTGTTGCTTTTGAAACAATCGGGTTGAACACTCGTCAATCTGAAGTACGAGGAGACTCGAAAGAAGACGAAACTGTTTCGGCAGATAAATGTCCTACTCATGAATTGGGAACGGTGCAAGATGAGGTTTTAGAAATCAATCAGCAAATGAATCCCATTAAGGAAAAGGAGGATTTCGACCACTTGGAGGTTAATTTCGGCGGTCTTGCCATTAAAGAAAGTGATGTGGGGAAGTCTTGTCCAGATGGCAACAATTTAGATGTTGAAATTGATTCACCGATTGTTGATGCTCTAACAACAGATGCTCCAACAACAGGGGCTTTAGAAAGCAGTTCCGAGTTGGTAGTAGTGAGTGAGGTCGATGGTAGTGATGAAGGGAAATTGGAATTGGAAGTAAGTTTGCCGACGAATACTGATCCCATCGTAGAAAGTTCATGCAACATTGTTGGAACCGAAGATGAATCTACCTTGAGTACCTCCATGTCCCAGTCGAGCCAAGTCCAAGTTATGGATGCGCTCGAGGAAATTATTACAGATGCGAGAAATAATAAGGTATCAACTAAATACCAAACTCTTATTCTTTATAAATGCAGCTACCTATCTGTCTCTCAGATGTTTCTTTATGAAACCAACTTCAAGAAATTTGAAAACAAAAAAAAAAAATCGAACTTTTCGTTGGTAGTCTAGCATAACTTTTACAGTTTGTATTTAATTATTGAATGGATTTCGATAGATGTGTGTGCATAAAATTGTATTTGTTTAGCATGACTGACAATAACAAAAATGTTGCAGAAAACAATGTTCGCGGCTATGGAGTCTGTTATCAGCTTGATGAGGGAAGTGGAGCTCAAAGAGCAAGCGGTAGAGCAAGCCAAAGTGGAGGCTGCTGTGGGGGGTTCTGATGTACTGTTCAAGGTGGAAGAACTTAAACAACTCGTGCAAAGTGCGAAGGATGCAAATGGCATGGTTAGTGCTCGTATTGCCAATCGAAGCATCACATTTAAAAAATGACCTACTCTATTAGTGTTGAAAAAAGAATGCTTTTATCCTCATTTTTTCTTTTTCTTTTTTCCTCAGCATGCTGGGGAAGTGTACGGTGAGAAAGCGATTCTAGCAACTGAGTTGAGGGAGCTTCAATCTCGTGTGCTCTCTCTGTCAGATGAGAGAGACAAATCTCTTTCTGTTCTTGACGAGGTTATTTTAACCTTTTCTCGTTTTCCCCCATCTGACTATATATATCATATTTTGACTAACTGAAGAAATATTTTTTGTTTGATACGAGTTAGTTCTTGGTCGTTTTGAAAGGTTGGTAATGAGATATTGTTAGCAACTTTTTTATTATATGATCCAGTTAACCTGCTATGATTACTTCTCGGGTCATTGTAGATATGATCAATGACATTTAGAATCGTACACGAGCTTGATTGTTTAATAGTTGGCATATTTTTTTTATTTAAGCATTTTTTGTCTTGTAGATGCGTCGAACATTGGAGGTGCGATTAGCTGCAGCCGAGAATGAAATAAAGTCTGCCGAAGAGGAAACGATAAAAAAAGAAAAGGCTGCAATGGAAGCCTTTGCAGAACAGAAGTTGATTATGGAGAAAGTGGTGGAAGAGTCGAAGATCCTTAAACAACAGGCAGAAGATAATGCCATGGTAGTGACTCCTTTCTCTTTGCTCTCCTATTTGTACGACTTCAATTTTTTGACTTTTATTAATTATTGCTTTTTTGTTGTGTTGCAGTTGCAGGAATTTCTTATGGATCGTGGACGTGTTGTAGATATGTTGCAGTAAGTTCTTTTAAGTTTTTGACTGATTATTTTTTTTTCTCTCTATTTGTGTGTGTGTGTGTGTGCAAGATATGTTCTGGTGGCTCAAACATATGGGTATTAATAACTATTTTCCAGCACATCCAAACCATGAGTTGATTTTGCCGTATTAGTACTTTTGCACTTTTGCTCTTATTTTACTGTCTTTAGGAAGAAGAGATGCCCGTCTGAATTAAATTAAAATCAAGATATGATGCCACCTGTCTTCTTCAGTATTTAATATGACAAATGTTGAAATGTAGAATAAGACCTTGATTCATGGTCCATTTTTCTCCGATCTTGGTTAATATTGCATTTTTTTATTACCATCCATGGAAGAAGTATCAGTCTATTTTTACGAAGACTGAAATTTTGATTTAATGTCCTGATCAACACACTGGAATCGTTTGAATATATATGGGATTGACCCTATCAAGTTTTTTGTTCATTCTAATGTACATCCAGTCTCGTACATCTGAAATTGCTCGACTTCTTTCACATGGATAGTTCTTTATTACTGGCTGACGAGAGTCTTTTTTTTTTCTTTTTTGGCATTGATTTTTCCAGAGGGGAAATAGCAGTTATATGTCATGACGTGAGGCTATTGAAGGAAAAGTTCGAGGAACATGTGCCTTATAGCAAATCACTTGCATCGAGCCAGACAAGCTGCATCTTAGCTTCGTCTACCTCTTCTTCCAAAAGTTCTAATCCCGAGCAAGTGGAGCCATTGCGTAATGATTCTTCATTGGAGACTGAAAAGAAGACGAAATCGATTTCTCGTTTTTTCAAACACTACTCCTCGTCTGAAGATGAAGCTGCTGCTACTGACGATGACCTCAAGGCACTTGCAGATAATGATGATGATGATGATGGATGGGAGCTTTTCGATATTAATCGTGAAATTTACGAGTGACTGAATTGTTCTAAGAATTAACTTGATTGTGCTGGATTCCAGATTTTGTTTCTTTTAGTTTTTTGTTTTTTTGAATTATTGCTTTTTTACTTTCAGAATTTATGGACCCGAATAATGGCTCTGGGAGATTTGCTTATTTATGTTTATACTTTTTGTCCATATGAGAAATAAAACGTTTCCAGGTCTTTGGAGCGCTTCGTTTTTTCGATTTCAATTGTCAGCATGCAAGATTTGTTGATTCCAATTGTACAAGAATGGCATGTTCACTATATCACTGTCGGCGTATGTATTCTGATCTCAACTTATATGTATTATTGAGAGTTCATAAGCTCGAAAACTGATATTAGTCTACCGGACTGTTAATTGTGGTAATGAATATAAGAGCAATTCTCCAGTTATTGGTATCATGTATTTGATGTGTTCGTTCCCTTGTGGAATATGCATACATTGACAAATATCGACTCGAACGCTAAGAATACAACAATCGTCTTACACACCAACGGAAAAAGGAAACTGACGAACTATCATGGCAAAACAATGCATCATCATCGTACATGTACAATTTTTCGTGTAACGTCCAAAAAAGAAAATGAAAATGAATATTCACCCTTCAGGTTGTTTTTCTTCCAAAGCTTTTTCAATATCCGCCTGCGATACAGAACACAATTTTCAATATTTACGACTGAACAGAGAGAGAGAGAGAGAGAGAGAGAGAGAGAGAGAGAGAGAGAGAGAGACCGAGATTGACAATGGTGAGGTAGCTGTCCCGTAACGTTTGATTACGTATCCATTTTTGTCAACTAGAAACTTAGTGAAGTTCCATTTGATGTTGGACCCGAAAAAACCTCCTTTACTTGATTTAAGGAACTTATAAACTGGTGCTGCCTCCGATCCGTTCACTCTCACCTGAAAAACAGAATCATACTTGTTTTCATTAATATACAACTCTGTAAAAACCAAAACCGAAACCGAAACCCAAAAGCAAAATCTACCCCGAGAAATCCTATTCACTCAAAACTGATTTCACACTCAATATTCAAAGTTGTAAATTACTCTCACTTTAATATGCTTTGATTTATCAGTTTCAGCCTGAATTTAACATTCTGTTTTTTCCTTGAATGATTTAAAATCATCACGATCCATTTAGCTGATTACAGTGTTCCATTGCAAGAACTTGAACACAAGTAATCTCGTCTTTAATCCGAACAAGTATGCCTTTTCTAACTAATAACAAAAAACTGAAGCAAAAACGATAGTTAAAGCAACAGAACCTCAACCATGTCCTAAAAACATTGTGCACCCAAATTCCAACAGTTCTATAAGGGAGTATGTGTATTTACTTTTTGGAAGATGGGATACTCAGCCTTGAACCGTGTGCACGCAAATTGTTCGGCTTCTTGGCTCGATCCTGGCTCTTGATTCAAGAACTGATTGCATGGGAATGCCAATATCTCAAACCCTGATATCAAAACATACTACTATCAGTTTCCAACACTCCATGCACACACACACACACACACACACACACACACACACACACACACACACACACACACACACACACACACACACACATATACAGAGAGAGAGAGAGAGAGAGAGAGAGAGAGAGAGAGCAAAAACAGACCCTTATCCTTGTATTTAGAGTAAAGCTCAGTCAACTGCGTGTAATTTGAACTTGTGAACCCACTGTTTGACATATTTAATGCACACCCAAAAAGAAAAAAAGAAAAAAAAAACAGAAAAAACAATCAATTACAGAATGAATGGGAAAGAAAATTGAAAAAAAAAATAAAGAACAAACCATTTGGAAGCAACATTAACGACAAGCAAGACCTTCCCTTTGTAGGTTTTAAGGCTGACCTCATTACCTTTACTGTCCTGCTCATCCAAATTAAAATTAAATTAAAAACTACTGATTGATTGGTATTTGATATATATAAAAATAAAATGAAAAAAAAAAAAAAAACCTTGACATTGAAATCGTGGATGGAATTTTCTTTTTGTTGAATTGATGAAGAAGCACCCATTCCCCTGCCTTTGCTTCTTTTCTGCACCTAACCAAAATTAAATTTCTATTTCTAGAGAGAGAAAGAGAGATTGTGGAAATTGGGAAGATAAGGGAGGGGTGATCTGACTGACATTCGAGTAATCAAAATGAAAATTAATTGTGGAGAGAAAGGGATCCCGCAAATATCATCATCATCATTTACAGCTGGAATTCGAAATAAATATGCTTCTGTTTTAAAAATGTTATCTTTCATTCTTTCTTTGGGTATGTCGGTACGGGTGGATATTTATTGCTCCATTTTGAATTATCACTTTCCACACAATTCTTATTTTTTCGGAACTGGGAAAATTAATTTTTTATTTTGTTCGATGTAAAAGAGAGTTGGATGTCTAACCAAGATGGAATACCCAAATTATTTAATTCTAAGTAACGAACTCTAACAACAATATTCATATTCAGTAAAATCGAAGTTGGATTTTATTATCAACCTAAAAGCAAGAAAGTAAAATACAAAAGATTTTATCAATTGCAACCTAAAATTTTATATTCTCCCTGTACAAGAATTACTCACGCAAGACCCCTCAATTATGCACTATATAATTCCAATTATTAACATTAGACACAATATTAATTATAACTTATTTCCATGTGTATTATAACTCTATTACTCAAAATTAAATTACAATATGTATATGCAATTTGATTATGAATAAAATATTTGATATGTCTAGCTGAGCTGGTCCAATGGGCCTATAATTACCGGGTCATGAGCCCAATTTTGAAGACCACTCTCAATCACCTTCAAATAAGGTTTGGGCTTGAAACAATCAATCTATTCTAGTCCGACAATCTTAGTATAAATAAAGGTTATAATTCATTTGTTATGGTACGTTCAATATTCGAACAATACAACTGCTCGTATTCTCTCTACGACTTTTGTAATCCACACGCCTGGTTTAAGCGTTGGACGGGTTCGCGTCGGATCAACTACCGCCTTAATTTACGTGTTCTCTGATCGTAGGTATCTCAGGGTGATCAAGCTCGTGAGCGAGTGATTCACTTTGCTCTTCCAGCTCATCCTACTTCAACTACGTCAGGTGATCTAATTCTAGCATAATCAACATTAAATACAAAGCTCAATAAATATTTGTATGTCTACTATGACGCATGTCCAACGACTCGAAGGTTGTTATAGTTAATGTCTAATTATCGGAATAGTTTATCGAGATAATTCCAATAATCACAGATAAAATACATAAAGTGATTAGGTTCATACATTAACAATCATATCAAGTAGAAGAAATAATCGTAAGCTTATAATTGCATAATATTACGAAAAAAGGTTTATAATCCTCACATAGTGTTCCAATTGTTGTAAAATGACTTATTTAATTTAAATCTTTGTTTTGGTGGTTGTGGAAATACATAAGAACATAAATAACGAGAATAGAAATACAGAGAAAATAATAACACAAGAGAGATAATTCATAAAGAGATAATTGTGGAATTATTAGGGGGAAGGGAGATTTTCATTTATATAAGTGCAAACCACCAAGTAGTTACAATAGAGGAGTTACATGGAAGTTACTTCCTACACACATCATGGATGAAAGTATGAATAATGGGTGAGTTACCTAGTGGGAAGTTAATTAACTTTAAGATAGAAAGCCCACATTATACATTTTATTTACGACACTCCCTCTTTTGGATTCCTATCGAACTATTATTGTGCTTTTCGTGTTGCCACGTGCATCACATTTCTTTTCTCACGGGTGAAGTTTTTCAGTGCGAATATAAAGGTAATTACTTGTGGATAACTATTCTTTAGTGTTGGGTTGAATTGCACTTTACGGTGAATTTACTGTTGACTCCACTGAATTTTTTTTTATCAACGCAATTTAATGTAAATAAATTTATTTTCTAACACATTTCTATCGGTATTGTTCCGGTAAAATGTTACTTATTACTTATTAGATATGATAAATGTCCCAAACATGCATGTCACTCTCAAAATAGCTTATTCGTTGTGGCGGTTAATGCATTTGTTATCGAACAAATTTAATTTTCGGTGAAATATTTTGAAGGTTGTACTAGTTAGGTCAAAATATGTACTGCCTTTTTGTATATAAAACTTTCATTATTCGATACTTTTCCTTTTATTACTTATTTTGGTTTAATTCATTATTTAAAACAAACGATGCCGTTGTTTTGTTTATTTTTCTACTATTTCTTATTGCATATCAAGTTTTGATTTTTTTAATTCGAGTACTTTTTCCTAATCAAATATTTTCATTCCTTAAATTATTCCAGTGCATCGCGCGGATGAAATACTGATTTATATAACGGTAGAATAGTTATTCTACTTTTATTAGGATTTGTTCGATGCTACACCCGGTGTTTTTCACCGAGTGTAGCATCGAAGGAACCTTTTATTAGATACATTATATGTGCAGGTTTCATCTATTTAATCACTTTTCAATTTTCAATGTTGGCTTGTTTCATAGAAAATGATGGACTGAGGAACCGAATGCTTTACCCATTAATGATTAATTATCAACATATTTGTAACAACATTATCAAATTACCAAACAAACTATTATTAATTTACGTAATGATTTAATAATTGAGGGCAAAATGGTTAGGTACATAATATATAAAAGTATGGAATATATTGGGGTGCATTACAAAAAAACCCTGAGCCTAGGTTAAATTACGAAAAACACCCCCAACTATTCGTAACTACCCCCGATGAATGTTTCCGTTTTACGTAGGCCACCTTATACTATGGTTTTTCACGGAAACTTTTTTATTACATGAAATATTTCTCAAAAATGTCGCTTCTACCCCTACAAACGTGACATATCTTTATGCTACTGTTTAAAGGCAAAAGTCACCCTAGAGAGCCTTTACACAAAAATTTTATTCTTCTTAACCAACACATTCACAGTTTTTTAGTATTACCATATAAGTAATACCACTTTTTATCGGCTAGAATTGGCATTTTTTGAAAAATATCCCCTGAAATGGTATAATTCTGTATTGAGAAAATGTAATAATCCTTAAAGTGGGTTTTCCAATCTTCAGTATTTCGTTTAACTTCTTAAATGGCATAATTCTGAATTGAGATAATATTAAATGGTAACGGTTCCAGTATTTTCCTTTTTTCGCAACCTCCACGATTCAAATCCAATCAAAGAGGTCACACTTTATCACTCAATTGTACGTGAAAACATGCGTAATCACATTACACGTACACGTTTATGCCAAAAAATGCACAGATCAAGTCTTGTAATGAGAGAGGGGAGAAGAAAGTACAACACATTTACCAGGTGATTAATTATCTTGTCAGCCTGAACAAAAAAATTTATACATCTGCAATTTTGAAATAAGTTAACAAGCTAAAGGTAATATTATCACATCTCACAACACCAACAGCCTCAAATTATACGTTTGTTAGGGAAACCGCAAAAAAAATGGCGATATAAATTATTTATATATACAATCGAGCGAGCAAACACGCTATATTTTTCTCTGACCACGTGATCTTGGAAAATCCTTTTAACAGTCCTCTGATGAAAAACCAAAATTACCAGTTTGATGCAGCTGCCTGCCTCGGTTTATCTTGGTTTCCAGAAATTAGGACCTACAAAACAGAAATGCAATTAAAGAAAGTCGGAAACTAAGTAATCATAATTCTTCTGCTAAACATATCGGTTGTGATTGGATAACTCATATGGAATCATTTGAGACCAGATGGGATGAGATGGTAATCATGTAACCGATTTTCGCAAAACAGTTGGCAAAAAAAATTAGATTTGACACTTTCTTTTTTATGCAAAACATAGATGAATGACAGACCTCTATTTGCGACTGGTATTGGAGCTCCAGACGGTGGCCGATAAGGGTTAAATTGCCTGTGGTTGATGGAGCGAGGAGGGTAATCCCACCTATTGTCATTATATACTGATTCACGGGGTGGACCACTGTACGACACTGGTACGTGACCCATCCTCGAGTTATCATGATACTGTGGACCTGACAGAGCATTACAAAGGCTAATGATTAATACCGTACAAACATATAAAATATAAAACAAAGGGTAAATTACGAACACACAACCACCACATTACATGATATTTTATAATAATGTATTCCTAACTAGTCGTAAACAATAAAAGGTATTCTACTTGTTTCTAATTTCGACGTTCAACTTCGTTTCCATAAAAGTGGAAATCCAATATACAACCTTAAACAACAAGAGTTATACGTTTCAGTTGATTTTTTTAACCTTCCAAATTTCTTTTGGAGAAAATAGAATTTCAAGAAAGCTTTTGTACTATTGTTATTTTAAGGGTAGTTTAATGGGGTAAATGTAACTTAACGAACAAAAGAGGATTTTTTTCTCTTTTCTTTTTATTCGGGGGCAATTTAGACACTTCATCGGTTCTGTTGAAAAAAATAATGGAACATTAATTCGAGGGGCCAAAATTTAATTTTCGTAATTTGGTCCTACCTTAGGGGGTGTTCGTAATTTACCCTAAAATTAATTTCAGGATGCCTGAAAAAATATTAATAATAATACAAGCAAGGAAGCTCTAGTTACCAGATATGGGCGGCAATGGTGGCCTCCACGAGTCTCCAATACTATCACGATGGGAGAACTTAATGTTCCTGTCACGATCCCGGTAGAAATTTCCATTTTCCGCATTACGAGTATGGAATCTGTCAGGATGGGGAGGGGGTGGTGGGATATCTCTCCGTGGTTGATGGATATACGAAAACTGATCTGACGGAGCAGGGTTAGGTGGGCGCAGATGAAAACCCCCGGTCTTGCTGTGAGAGCCATCCACTGGCTGGAAGCTATTATTACAAGCTCTACCAGATAAGTTGGAGTTAGGTTGATCACTGAAACGACGAGGACTAGTGCAGTGAGGCATATGTCTTGGCAACTGAGCCACAGAGTCTCTACTGTCACGAGATCGATGATGCAAAACATCCATGGATCTTGGCTTGACTCTCGGCAAATAAGACTGCTTTGCCCTCGGTTCCTGCAAATTGAAGTTCAAATTTTGCATCCATCCATACATACACAAGTATCGTAAATTAAAAAAAGATCCTGCCTTCATTTCATATTAAGAGAGTGTTTGGCTAAGCTTATTTTAAACATCTAATAAGTTTTTATATCTAATGAGCTGTTTTGAGAGCTGATAAGTTGTTATGTCTTATTTTGTAAAAATGAATTCTTAAAGTATTCGGATAAAGAGCTTATAAGGTATTTTTACTCATTATAAGATCTTAAATAAAAAGATGGGTAGAGGTACTTTTTCAATAAGATCTTAAAGAAAATTGGTGAACACTTTTGAATAGCTTATAAGCTCGTAAACATCTTATAAGTTGTTTTTAATAACTAATAAGCTTACCCAAACACCCTCTAAGTGTCACCTTGACCATTTTTTTCCCATATTAAGTGTCACTTTAGAAATAAATTTCAAGGTATGAAAAACAAAATGCCAACATTACCCTAACATTGATGAAGTGATGTTAATGAAGTGACAAAGAGAAAACGAAGAGTCGCAGATGTGTAAATTTGTCAAATAAGAACCTTTTTTTCCCCAAAATCAAGGTTGTTTAATAACGTTCTTATTTAGTATGCAACAACCTTAAACGACAGTTAATATGAAATGGAGGGAGTATCCAAAATGCAAGTGATAAAAAGAAAAAGGCTACGGGATGTGAAAGACAGGACAGAAAGAAACCTGGGAGCTTGGACGAAGTTTCGGATCAGCAGATGGTGGAAGTGGATGAATCGGAGCAGATCTCGGTTGGGTCTCCTTAGATTGTTGAGGGGCAAATGGCGTCCCATAACGATCGTTAGATTGATGAGAAGGCATTTGCGTGCAATCTATCGCAGTGGTATTATTATTACTGGTCGAAGTAAATTCCGCTACACAATTTGGAGAGACATCCTCCATTTCAAGCTCACCATCAACATCTTCCAAGATATGGCTACGTTTCTCAATAGCAGCAACTGGATTAGTCTCTCCATCAAACTTTTTTAAACTATGCTCTGGAGTAACAGCTCCCAAGCTCTTCCCACCGGAATCACTATCTCCGTCATCATCCCTCAGCATAGGAGGCATACAGAAACCAGGAAGTTGAATTCTTGAATTACTACATTATAAATAAGATGGAAGCTCATTAGTGAATATTACAACATGCCTAAAACTAAAGAAAAAATGAATAGTACAACAATTGCTATAAGCAATCGTATTACCTCCCATACTCATCAACCGACATACCCTCCATTTCTCTGATAGGATCGTCAAAAGGCCTTTCAAATTTACAAGATCTGCGGGAGCCACCGGTAATATGTGAACTATAAAGGGCTTCAAGTTCTCGAATATGGTGACGAATCATTGGTTCTGGAAGAACCTTCCTCCCCAGCCAAACTCTCAATACCTATCAACCACACCAAAATTAATAATTATAAGAATAACATTAATAACATAAACCGCTATAAAACATGTGATGCGTATGAGAAACGCCTGCGAGAGTAAATCTAAGAGGGGCTATACTCACTTTTAAACACTGCCTATGATTCTCATTGAAACTACCAGGTGGGGCAGCAGCTAATAATAGACGTGACAACAGTGCCTGGATTGCTGTCGGATATATGCCAGCTTTGCCTGGACAGGCAAACATAAGTTAGAATAGAAAAATTCCGCACATAATACAACGTTGAAACTAGACAACAACAGAGTTATACAGGCGCAATGACATCCAAGACACTAAAGCATGACTTACCTTTCATGCTTCCAGAGCACTGAGTAATAGAGTCAACAAGGAAAAACAAGTCAATCCTTTTGCGCGGACTTGACTCACTTTCCAAATTACGAGTAATAATGTCCAACACCTACAGCCACAGACAGAGAAACTCAACATTAGCACAATGGAGAAGTGCTATGGCATCTAATGCAGAATCAAATGCCTAAAAAGTACAAAACTTTTTAACACCTAAGAATATCCATATAAGGGTTACAATACTAGAGTGTTAACTATAAAATGGGCACCAGAGCATGAAAAACTATTATAAAATCATTCATCTGAACAATTATCATCTCCTACTGAACCACAGGCTTCCTTAACCATACATTACATTTGTTAAACGCCGATATTGATTTATGAGCATATAAGAAAAGCACCACTTTATAAGATGCATTTACTTACTTTTCCCTTGAGAAAGGATGAGGCCATCCATTGAAGCTATTATTACCGACCATCAACACAACAGAATCAAATAATATGTCTGCCACCGAAGCTAAATCACTGATATAATTGTTAACCACATGCAAATTGAGGACGCAAAATTTTGATTTAAATAACGACAATATGGTGCTAAAGAGAGATCAAAAAAACTCAGACAAGATGATGTTTAAAAAAAATGGAAACACAGATTTCTTTAAATCACCAGGAAGGTCTACCTTTGATGCTAAACCAGACTTTGCGCAATCAATAGCAATCCGTGTTGCTCGACCTATGATCTCTTTTGTTCTCGTCAAAGTTCTAATAATGGCTTCAAAGGATGACAAAAGCTCCACATTGCTGCTTGTCTTGCCAGCAAGTTTACCTTTTCCAAGATGTGATTGGACATTGCGGCAGGAGCTAGTCTTTTCAACGCAAATATTATTATCTGATGCAGAAACGTTGCATTTGGAAGTACTGGGAGGAGATTCCCTTGCAACAGTGTCTGGCCCATCAGTTAGGAATAAAGACCGAGTGTCTGAAACTTTACCCTCCAGATGATGATCTGTATTCAAAACCTCCACCTGAGTAGTTGAGGTTCCAACATTTAAAACTAGAGATGCTGGTCTAACTTCTTCCACAGACTCAGACCTAAGGATACACAGACAGTGAATCAAACATGTACACCAAGTTAAAAATGAATGGGAGAAGTGCTGAAAAGGAATAAACTGTAGTACTGCGTGTGAAAAACTTTACCTTCTGACATCGTGGTTATTATCAGATAAACAAACGTGCTTCATCACGTGTGTTTCACGAACTCCACCATCTGCACTGTCTATCGGAGTACTTTTGTCATTATTAAGTGAACCATCAGCAATTTGTTCTACCAAAATAGAAGCTGAGTTCATTTGGGAAATATCAGGATCAGAACTCCGAGTAGCCTCTTTCACATCCGAAGGTTCATTCTTGCAGCAATTCGAAGTAATTGTCAGACATGGTGTATGGTGGTCTAACTCAGACAGTTCCTCACCAATGTTAGGTGAATTTGTAATAATATATTGATGCCCAGCATCAGTTGCTGCAGGGTGCTCATTCAAGGGGGACATTTTCAGACGTTTACCATCAGCACCATCAACATGTTCAACTGAAACTTTGTCGGAATCAGGGTTTGAGGTAGCAATAGCACACGAAGTTTTACAATCCGATACCACTGTTGAAGTATTTACATCTTTTTCTCGCACTACCATGTTTAAACCAACATTCAACTTGTAAGCACTTGTCTGAGAATCACCATTGCAATGATCGTCCACTTGTCCGGACCCCAATTCAATGGCAACTGTTTTTTCGATGGACAGCTCAGAGCATTCCACAAAAGAAGAAGACGAACACTCATTACTATGAGTATTCACTGTTGGTGAACAACTGGAAGCTCTTTGACTATCTTCAGCCACATTAGCACACATGGCTTCCAAGGCACGATGTAGACGCTTGGATGGAGGCAAAGCAGCTTCACCATCCACAAAATTCTTTCTAGTTTCCCAATACTGAGGGTTTCTAGAAGGACTTGCATTCAATAAAGACGAATTAGCTGGATCTCTTTTAATTGTAGCATATTCCCCACTAGCTGGTGCATCCACCTTAGAATTCAAGGGAAAAGAAGACTGTATAGCAGGACTTTCAGGAATTTCCGATGTTTTCTCCTCTTCATGCAATGAAGTGCCTTCTTCATCTCCTACAGGTGATGGTCTGCCTTTCCGAACTCTGGCTCTTTTAACTAGTGGCAAATGCTCATCACCATCTTCTTTGGCATGCCTTTCAGCCACTTCGCCATTAAAACTAAGTGAAACGGATTCAGTCTTGACCACTTTAGTCTCTGAAACAACTTCATCCAGTTTGGCCACCACAATAATATCGTTTCTGTGTCTTTTTCGATTAGGCTTCCTTTTCTTCTTAACGATAGTAGTATTAGTTTGAAAGTCAAGCCTGTCACTTAACTCTGCTTCCCCTTCATTTTTCACAATGGAAGGCTCCTCTCCCACACTTTTACAACCCGAATCCACAGAGATTCCATCATTCAAACTAAGTCTGTCAGAATCTACTGTCATAATCTCAGAATCGTTATCTTCAATGCTCTTATTTGATATAAAAGCAGGTGAGTGGACATCATGCCCCTCAGAATCATCAGACGACTTCATAATCCTTTTACTTCTTCTCAGAGATTTATCTTGCAATGCATTAGTACCCGACCGCCTAGAGCTCCTAGTGTTAATGAAAGAAGGCAACATTCTGTTTTTTAACCTACTACTATCTCTCCTCAGACAACTTCTTAACCTTCTCGCTGATATCCTCCTCTGCGGGCCAATATTCCGTGACTGGGCAGCATCGGATTTGCTTCTAGTTGAATAAACATGTGTGCTGGTAAACCCTGAATCAGAATGTGCCGCCTCCATATGCGTTTCATCCTCAGCTGCTGCAGCTACAGCAGCTTCAGTTAGGGAGTCCAGATCATTAATGGCTCTACTAGGAAGCTCTTTAACTGTAACCACAGGAGCTTCATCATTCGATGATTTAGTCAACGACTCGTCTGAATTGTTTTCATTTGTTGTAATAGTTTCCTCAGTATTATCACTAGTGACCGAGTCCTGTTTCTTCAACTTCTCAAAGCAATCAACCATCTCATTTAAGGCACGGAGAAATTCAGAACCCTTTCCATGCCGTCTCCCCAAAAGAGACAACTTTTTCTCTTCTGTGAACTCTTCTACATCAGCTGGACTACAGAAGGCACTGTACAAAGCAAAATCTTAATAAAAAGAAAGAACATGATAATTTTTCAATTGCACTATCAATTACATACATATCTATTTTACTTGTAAGCTCAACAAAATCATGCAAGGATTTATTTTTAAATTGAACTAGGCAAAATTGCTTTGGATGATCAACAAATTTAACGAGCGGCAAAGCAGTATATCCGCCTACTCACTAGAACCCTAAGAAAGATATAATGTCTATAATAAGCGCTATATTTCACATCTCAAGGATCCCTGGCCCAAATTTGTTACACTACCTTAAAGTCTACATAGTCCAATTATCTCAGCCTACACATTATACCGTCCATTTATATTAAATTTCTCAAATCTACTATATGAAATTTGAAAATATTATCATGGAAAAGTTATCATTCTACAAGTGAAAAATACTGGAATATCCATGTCACGAAGCTTAACAAAAATATTGCTGGTAAAATTTATAAAAAAAAAAAAAAAAGAAAGAAAAACCATACTTCAATAGGTCAACAAAACACAATGCCAAGTTATCATTCTACAAATGGGGATTACTGGAATATCCATGTCAAGCTTAACAAAACTATGGCTGGTAAAAAATACTAACAAAATAAAAATAAACATAGTTTAAACTTTAATAGGTCAATGACAAACCGTGTCAAGCAGGAAGCTACATTATAGGACAGGCCAAGATGCCCACCCAACAAGGGAAACTTACAACAAATAACCCCATGAACTAACTATTTCCTAAATCGATAGAGATCAGTTCAACTCCAAGTCTCGACAACAGCATACTTACTGGGCGTTTAATAGTGCAGGTATTTCAATATATCATTCATATCCAATCAATTAACGAGTAACCAATCAGGTACTCCAAATTATCTCACTCGGAAAGCTCGATTTCGGTACATCGACTTAGGTAAAAAAACAAGAGATATGGCAATCAAAAATTTGGGTGCAGCATTGACACCATCAGACTTCAAAACTCCTAATTCCTAAATTAGACCAACTAGATCTCAGATAATCTGCGGAAAGAAAATTTTCACAATTCACTAACCATTTTGATTAATTAAAAACTACTAGACCACATGTATATTCCAGGTAAAATATCATTTCGAGGGCAAAAGTGTGCGCAGAAGTTAATTTGATACACACAACTAATCAAAATTATTTGTTATCATGGCACACCTAATAGAATCTAACTGTGAGAAAGTAGTTCATTACAGATTACCTGTTGAGAACTTAGTGAGTTCATTCACCAAATGAAAGAGAACTCTCAAATACAATTTTCTCTAATAAATATAGCTCAGGTTCTTAACAAGAAAAATCTATAAAACGACTCAGCGGTTAATCATAAGAGAGAACTGATGTATAACTACGAAGTGAAACCATTATTTGCTTAATAACTGGAAACTTCTGATTCTTATGGCACCAGAGGTTAGAAATGCTATAAACTAGACCTGAAGCATGTCTAACAAAGACAGAGATTTTGAACATGCAATTAGTCATAACAATAGCAAATAGAACTCGAAAAAAGTATGTACAAAGTGCCCTAAGAGTCAATAGCCAATCAAGCACAATTAAAAATCAGTAGCTAACAAATCCAACAATATATGCATCTTCTTCTACTATCAGAAACTTGATTAGGAACGTGATACATCTAATTAACAAGAAATTTCCGTACAAAGGCAATTTATGTTAGTTCTCCAAAATAAATTAGAAGGAGAGCCATTTGCATTTAGGCAAAAACCAACTAATGCATAAAACAAAACTTACATTTGTTGACTCCCAAAAAAATGGACAAATACTTTCTTTAAATCAGCAGGGTAACCCCACTTCTCAGGCTCACTCACCTGCCATATGAGAGAAATAGTCAATATAGCCACTACACTCATACCAGTAGAGTAAATTCAGTGAAGGAAGTCGGTGAAACAGCCAAACATTTAAGACCGTAATGTGTGGAACCAGGAAACAAAAATCCATTTAAACCTCTCAATAGATTGCCCACTTTCTATTTAACTTCTCTATATCACAAAATGCATAAGAACCCCCAAAGACGCAACATAATGTCAAATCAAATGCACAGCAATAAAAGAGACTTCTATCCCTCTTTCTTCTAAACGAAAAAATATCGAAAACCCAAACACGCCCCTAAACCCAACCATACCCAAATTTAACGGATCTTAACGGCCAGATCCGCAAACCCATTAACTTAAATACAACAACTTATATTATATAAGTGAATATATTATATGAAGTGAATAACACAAAGATATCATTAGATATATTTAACTACTACAATTAAAAACAAAGTTCAATTCAAGTATTTAACTAGACACTAATAGCTTCCATTTCTCTTGTAAAACCTAAATGTATAATAAATCACCAAAAGCACATTCAATCTCTCTACAACCCTAAGGAAAAATGAAGTGAACAAGATGGAAAGTACAAATTAAATCTTGACTTAATTTTTTCAAATAATATACATTGATTATTATATATATGGAGAGGTCCTGGATCAGTTACCCCACCCAGAACCGACTGGGTCAAAGAACCTAAATCCATTACCCGCCGCAAAACCATTTAACGTACACAAACCAGCCACAAGCAGTTCGGTTTTCGGTTTAAAATCTACAAACATCTGAAAACACAAGAAGCAAGGTAGGTGAACAACTAAGCAGTAATATTCAACCACTTATGACTTATATGCTAAACTAAAGTAACTACTCTAACCTTTCACATCTAGCTATACACACACTTTAAATATCACTTCACTAACATAATAATTTTGTATAGAATCCAATACATACAGCTGCAATTTTTTTCTAAATTTATGTTCGTTCAGTGCACAATGTTCCATTTATTTCAAACTAACTTGTTTACAAAGATAGAACTTCAAATGGGCCAAAAACACACAATCCAAGCCAAAATAACAATACTCCCCCCAGATCTGCAGTTACCAAAACAAAAACAGCAGGTATAAAATAAAACTATAAAACAATATAGAAGTAGCATGCAGCACGAAACCCTAACTGAACTTAGTAGGAAATACATAAGCATGTAGCTTCAGAAATTTAAAAATTAAAATAAAAAAATAAAAAATTAATATATAATACACATACAGTGGCAGGCCATGCCGGAAAGCCCTTGACTTTGGCAAGGACGAGATCTCCAAGCTTCCACTTCAGCCGTGCGGGCGCTGAGCTCGCTCTATTGACACCTTTTCTTCCGCTCGGCGCCATAAAGCAACTACGCAAACGAAGAATTCATAGGTGGCATTGAAAGATCGAATCAAAAGAAGAGAGTAAAGAGCCCTAATTTCCACAGTTCTCCACACAGAAAATCCCGGGCAACAAATACGCCCATTCGAATTTACGCCGTTGTGCAGAGTTAAATTGAGTGGGCATAAAAGTTAAAACCCTAACCCCAATTAATCTTAGACGGTGGGGGGGTGGGCGGCGGAGGGGGAAATGTTAACGGAGAAGGGTGGGAGTGAATGGAAGAAAGAGCGGCGGAAATAGGAAAAAAAAACAGATAGGGGCGGAAGTTTTGGAGGGATTTGGGGGGGGGGGGGGGGCGGTGTTAAAGGGAGCTGGGGGGGGGTGTAAAAAAAATAAAAAGCCCAAAGCCCGGGATTAATTGGTTTTCCCACTCTTATATCCTAAAAGAAAAGAAGAAAAAAGAAAAAAGAAAGACTTTTGGGCCGCCCGGGACCTGCATACTTTCATTGGATGGCCCCATGACTGGACCCAGATATATATGTCCCAAAAAAATAAAGGGGAAATTCCCAACCCCCCCCCAAGGGATGGTCAATTTATAGGACAACCCTTCTTGTTTGGATAATTATATCTAACCCCCTCAACTATGATTTTTTCTTACACCTCCGCCATTATGGTGTCAAATTCAACATAATCATCTAGATTTCGTGGAATCTGCTCTAGTTTGTACTCCCTTTGTGAAAAAATATAGTTTCCGATGCACCACAATCTGATATATAATCTGATATATACAAGCCAACAAACACATATTATGATCATCTTGCTTCAACATGTAGAGTTCGAATGAGATAAAACGGGTACAAAAGTGATAATATTCCGTATAATCTCGAAGATTCTACTAAATTTGATGAGTTGAGGGGGGTGGTTGTAATTATCCAAACAAGAGGGAAGTTTTCGTAATTTGACCATACCTCAGGGGTGGTTGTAATTTACCCAATAAATAAATGTTATTCGGGAGAGGTATGAACGCATCATGATTCTAGCCCCTTCTTTTGCTTTCCGGACCAATCCAAGTTTAGCTTATTTATCCAATTTAATTAATTGAATAATTTTGCACAAAGTAAGATTTGCAGGCACATTTCATTCACTTTTTAAGAATAAAAAATTCAAACTCTCTTTTCGGATTTCGTTTCATAGATCCCGACCAAAACGATAATCGATCGCCGGTAAGTTTTACGTTTTTGTGATTGTTTTGTTACGTAAAGTACGAATATAAAGAGACCAAACTCGTGGCAAATCTCGTGATTTATGTCTGCTCCTACACAAACTCTATCTATCTACCAAGTTCGTGTAAAACCAGGCGAAATCATGAGTTTCTTAATTTATTTATCTTAAAAAAATGAATTTATGTAAGAAAAAATCCAAATGCATGATTTCGTGTAATTTTAGGTGAGTTAATGTACTAAGTTAGCGTAGAAGAACGTGAACTCGATACACAAATTCACCTAAATTTACGCGATTTTTTTTGTTTTGTTGTTATTATTCTGATGTTGCTCAAATAAGGATGGAACAACCCAACAGTCTTTGAGCCCGCAATGATATAGAATGTCGAAGGTCACTGCCACGCGTCTCGAGGTAGTCAACAAATCTTCCCGTTAATCCTATAAAACAATTGAAAACACTAGATAACACGCCAGGTTTGGCTTGCCAATTATCCTCCGACGCTCAAGTTAGAAGCTATAACAATATAAGCAAATAATAATAATTAATTGCAAATTAGAGTGTACCTTGTTATGTGAAGTGAAACACATATTTATAGGTGAATGAATAGGTAGAACTTTTGTAGAAAACTGATGTGGGACAATGTGTTGTCATTTAAGGGTAAAAAGTATGCTAATTGAGTTTTCATGAACAGTTAGATTAATTAGGGCAATTTGGACCTAATCCTAATTAGGCTTATGGACTTAATTATAATTAGGCACATCATTAAGCCCACACTTCCAAGTTGGGTCGCGGGCATGTGAGCCTGCTCGGAAGTAATATATAAGCCTCCCCATGTACTTGTAGGGTTTTTAATTTTTTTTTTAGGTTTCTTTTTCCGGAATTGTGCTACCGGGAACCAAGGATTTTTGGCATTCTTCCAAAGGTATAAATATCTTCTGCGAATATTCAAACTATATGTGTTGTTGGTTGAATCCCTTCTTTAGTGTTTGGAGTTTCGAAATCGCGTTGACAAAAGCGTAGAATTTGGATGTCGGTCTAAGGTTGTTGAATGAGTCTAGTGACGAACTACCTGGAGTTAATTCGGATTCCGATAATTTTGAAGTCGGGAATTCTAAAAATCTTGATAGTAGGGTTGCAAGAGGGCGAAATTTGGAGTCCGGGAATACCATTTTTTCTAAATTCGGAGTTGTGAGCGAGAAGTTAAGGGAGAAACAGTGTAAATGTGCGCTTTTCGAGAAAAAACATAATTCTAACGACTTGGGCACGGAAAACTGTGCAAGAAAAGTGGCTGTGACGTCAGCCCTGGGTGGCGTTATGTCACAAATTCTTGGGAAGCGTGCGCGAGTAGGAGAGAGCGAGTCAGCTCGTTCGGGCGGGTGGGTCAGCTCGATCTGCCTGTCCAACTTGGTCGGGCGAGTCGACTTGGGCGGGCAGGTCAACTCGGTCAGCTGAGTCAGATGGGTCAAGTCGGTCAGGCGAGTCAACTCGGATGGTAGTCCGGCGGCGTGCGGCGCGCGTGCAGTGCCGTGTGGAGCCGTTTTTTTCCGACAAAAATCGTCTTTCAGCTGCCAACGTCGACGGTGGTCCGGGGGTGTGTTCCGTGGAGTTAGAATCTAGTGATCCTGAGACTTGGGCGTGGTCTCGACGTATTAATGTATTTGGGGCGAATCGGCATGTAAAAAATTCTGTGCACTGTGAGTCAAGAAACGGGGTTGAACTCGAGGTTGATAAGAGTTTTTTAACCGATGAGTAGGAGGAATCAGTCGACGTTTCCGGCGGTTGTTCTCCTGGGATAAATGCAGATATATTTTCCGAATTCAATTTTGATTCCTCCTTTAGAGTTGGTCAGTTGGCCGAGATTTTCGGTCATCTGTGTGTTGGCCGTGATATTGAGGTATTGGTTCTGGTTAAGGGAGAGAGATGTTATACATCTCCTGATGGCTACTTTACGGTATACCTCACTTCATTTTCGGTGGGATTTACTTTGCCGCCCGATCCATTTCATGTTCAAAATTTTCGCAATATCAAAGTAAGCCTCAGTCAATTAACGCCGAACGCGTTTCTCTATTTCAAAGGATTTTGCCATCGCGTTGAGTCTGAGGGTTTTCCAATTTCGGCGAATTTGTTTCATTCCGTGTCTCTTGTGAAGCCGCTTACGGACAAAGCTCCTAAATTTTCATTTTCACCATTGGTCGAAATGCAAGTTTTTGAAGAAAAATAATTATAAGTGGGGGAGCTGGAAATAGCGGTTCTTGTACGTGCGGAATGATTAGGAGGTTCCGTCTATATGGAGGGAAGTGCGCCATGTTGAGTGGAGTAATGAATATTCTAAACTTAAAATGGATTGTATCGGGATGGGTTTTTTCGATAATTTCTTTGACTCTTTGACTTTATTTTCTAAGGGTAGACGAGTTATGATATATCTATTGCTCAATTATTTTGCTTTATAGTCTTCTTGAAGCTAATATTTTTCTATTTGCTCATTTTGTGTCCTGCAGGTTGCAGGTGAGACAATGAGCTATAATGACTTCAAACGTCGTTGCATGAATAATGGATCCTCGAAACCCGTGTCTCGAAACACACCTCCGGCCTCGAGGCCCTTAGCGAGGGAGTCGGGAAGGAGCACTGCTGAGGATCGAAGTGGTGGAAAAAAGACAGTCCATGGGGTGGGAACGTCGCGTGGGCCGGAGGTGGTTGTGAAGAAGAGCGCTGGAGTCTCGGATCCCAAATCTGCCGACAAAAGTCGACCTGCTATTATGAGTGCACCACAGCTGCCCTTGAGTGAGCTTAAGACGCCCTCCGCTTCTGGTGATACCCGTGTTACCCCTATCATTGTGCGTAAAAAAAGACCTCGTACCTTAAGAGCTGAGGAGTTGGTGTTACCGCCAGTTAATGCGTGGAGAGGGTTTGATAGGATGCAAAATGGCGGTTCGGTGTTTGATGCTCTTGATAGTACCTTGACCGTGGAGAAGGTTATGGGTTTCCCGACGAAGTTTGACTCGACTCGTCTCGCCGGAAAGCCGCTGGATGATATGATCGAATGGTTGGCTGCATCCTTTGCTCGGGTTAGTACCGTATTCGCTGCACTTATCTATTATTTATTTATTAAAAAATAATTTAATTTTTTTTTAGGGTATGACTTTTGTGCCCTTGAATATTGAACGCGAAAGGGGGTTAGAGGCTGAGCATGTCAAGATGCAGGCAGAGAAATTGAATGTTAATTCGTTGTATGCGGGTGTTCAGGGTGCCAATGCCTCCCTTCGCTTCGAGATTGAAAGTTTGGAGAAGTCTCTTGAAGAAGAAAAAGGGAAGTTGAGTGCCTTGGAGAAAAAGTGTCAGAGTTTATCAACCCCCTCGGATGAGGAAAAATTGCGTCGTTTGACGGCCGAAGCTAAGGTTAAGGATCTAAGCAACACTTTGGAGAACGAAAAGGTCGTCGCTCTTTCTTTCATGGAAGCTCATAGGGGGTCGGATGACGTCTTGAAGATGCCTTTGGGTTTGGTGGTGGTTGAAAAGTTCTTAGAGAGCGAGTCTTATACCGAGATTCGGGATAATTATGCTAGTGGCTTATTTGCAGAGATCGTGCGGGATATTCATGGTCATGTTTGTGCTACGAAGCTTGTCCCAGATGCTATCTTACGGGATATAGCCAAGCATTTTGGAACTTGAGCCGAAAATTGGGGCCCTGGGTGAGGGTGATGAGCTTGACGAGTTGCCTGAAGCTGCTGGAGCTGAAGCCACGAGTGTTGACCCGACTGCCTAGTAGTGCAGTCGTTTATTATTTTATGCTCGCTTGAGAG